CTGTTGATGGGTGACAGGACGTACAATAGGTTAAAGGCAGGAACAAATCAGAGGGCTACACAGTCCAAATTTAGAGCCTCTTTCTTCAGGTCTTTGTGGTCGATTAAGGACCAGGTCCTTCGAAGGATGCAGCCCCTGAATTTAGACACAGCACTTTTGAAACTTTAAGTATGATTAAAAGTTGATGATGTTTGATTTGTTTTTTTTTTTTTACATTTATAAAGAAAAAGGCAGGCCATTTACACCTGAGCAAAACAGTTTTTATTGTAAAGGATTTATTTTCTTTGTATTCCAGGTTTCTGTGTGGGCCGGTGACAGCGATGCAGTTTTCATCAGGGAGTTCACTTTGTTTCGGCGAGATCACCTTTCTGAAGAACCTCTCCAAAAACCGGAGGACCCGGTAAGTTTTTCAGCAAAATAAATTTTACTGGACGCRTTATTGTGTCAGTAAATTCTGTCAGAATGTAACTATTTCCCCTTTTTATTACTTTATAACTAAACAAAAATAATTGAAAGGTTAAACAAAGTCATAAATCTGTAGCTGTGTTTGTGTAACTCACTGTTTTACAGCTCGGTTCATAAAACATGACTGGGGGACTTTAGGGGGGGAGGAGGTCGACTCAACCTGATATGAAACTATTCCCACTCCATCTTCTCTTAACATTCTGCTTATTGTAGTTTGTTTTAATCCAACATCCCACCCGCAATTTATCTCAATAATTTCATGATGTTTCTGAGAAACTTCRAGCTTAGTCACAAGCTAGCCTCCAACAATCGCAGCTCAGTGAGATACAGGCTTAGTCTTTACAGCTGTGTTCTGAAAAGCTTCTTGTTTTACGCCCAAAAAGGGTCTGATTGCTGCTTCAGTCCACTTAAAGGGTTAAAACCACCCAGAACCGTCAGAATATTAAGGGTTTTTACAGTTAAGTGGTTGTTAATGACAGCTATTTAACGTCACTTTGTAGTAACAACTGGAGGCTCAGTGTGAGGACGCGTCTGCTCGGCGTGTCTTCACATGTTTCTGTCATCATACTGCACAGTTTTTAAAAAAAATGTTTTTCTGTCTTATCTGTTGGATTTACATCGAAGGTTTCTTTTTTGYGTCTCCTCTCTCACCACTCCATATAATAGGAGTTTTGTGCTCTTAACGYGCCCAATTGCACATCCAGCAGCAACTGTTAGGTAGGGTTGGGCATAATCATATCGTGTGCAATTAATCGTCAGAAAAACATTAATCGATTATTTTTTGGCGCTTGACGATTAATACGATTAATGCCACCAGGCAGAGGTTTAAAAAAACATTCTGTAATTTATTTATCTATCGATACAATTTAAAAATTTGACGTATAGCCTGGAGTCTGTAATTGTGATACAATTTGGAAAAGATTTTTAAGAAGAGCAAATCTTTACCACTAAATTGGTCATGTGACTATGAAATAAGGGTGTCCAGGGACTCCAGGGGATTAATCGTCAAATTAATCGTTATTGGCTAAATATCACAATCAATCGTGKTTTTTTTTTTGCCAATATAGCCCAACCCTACTGTTAGGATTTCCCTGTTTTCTTCTTCTTCCTTTTCTTCCACATTTTGTCTTTTTGTCAAGCTTCAAGGGGAACAAGAGCCAAGGTGGATTTGCCTTTTGGAAGAGTGTCAGGGTTGGGATTTATTGAGGTTGGGGTGGCAGGAATAAGCACTTAGTGGCCATAGCAGCTGCTGTGTTTCATGTGCAACAAGAGGTAGAAAGAGCAGCAGTCTCGCACAGTTTAACACATTTGATTTGATTTGATTTGATTTATTGATTTAACAGGAAAAGATTATTAAAAATCAAGCCCGACTCAGCATAATTGCTGTTTTACAGCAGGTTCCTGTTCTGCAGCACATAAAACACTCAGAATTACAGCATCACAATCACATCATTATTATTACACCATAGACCAGGGGTGTCAAACTCCTGTCCTCGAGGGCCGCTATCCTGCATGTTTTAGAGGTTTTCCAGCTC